TTGGGCCCCCGAGAACATTCTCTCTGTCTTTATGTGCTCCTGTCTTTGTCAGAATTTGTGTATCAGTAAGACACCGTTGTTTGACACGGTGGTAGCAGTTTGCCTTTATGCTTCCCTTCTGCTTTGTCGCTGTAGGAATACATCGTTCTATGTAGGAGCAGCAGCACATATTTATCCTCCCTTCTCGTGTATGTTCGTCGGAATTGGTGTACCAGAGTGCTTATTTATAATCCCGTCGTTTGAACTTTCCACTACACCGCACCCGAGCAAAGTTGTAGTCGTCTTAGCTTGTAGTATATACTATAGTTGCTGATGTCCGGTCCCGGACCGCTCGGACTCGGTCCGGACGCAGGACTGGACTGATGGACCGGTCCTCTGCAGTCCGGTCCTCATGGGTCCAGGAGAGGTCCGGTCCTGGGTCCATCATTTTGAGAAATTTCCCGGACCGATGGACTCGTCCGGACCCGGACTGGACTCCGGACCTGAATAACCTGAACTAATGTCTCAAATCTTGTTTCCCATATCTCTAGCTCACTATACTAAAACAGATCATACTCCTTTAAGGATCTTTGAATATTAGCTAGCACTTGCATAGTACATTTTACAAGTTTCTGGCAGTCCAAGCAAAGCAAAACTTTACTCCTGTTCTTTACTGTTCAATGTATGGCTTACTAAACTTGACTCTTCCTATCTGGTTATTGTCTCCTGAAATATTTATTCCCTTTATGTGTATTTCTTTCCCATTTCCTATTTTTGCCCTCTTTTTAGTCTGCTAAGCCACACTTCTCTCTCTCTCTTCCATGTTCACTCCTCTCCTGTCCTATGCCAAAGACACTGCAGTCCTAGCCGCCCTCCCCAGTCAAGCAGCCAGCCAATGCCCCTGCCCTTGACAAATTAGACAAGATGTCCGAAATCGCTCTCAGAAAGAAGAAGAACGCCGACGCTCAGGCTGCTTTCCGTGCACGCCGTGCCAACTATATTGCCACCCTCGAAGAGACAGGTCCGTCTGCTGCTAAGTACCTAAATATTCATGTTCTGACGACTAAGTGTCTGTAAATCGCAGTAACCAGCTTAGAGGCAGTTGTAGTCCAGCTTCAGGACTCGTGTCGCGAGGCTTGCGCCAAAGCCTCAGAATTGTGTCAGGAAAACCACTACAGTGTCTAGTCTGTAGATTATGTAGTATATACAAAAATATATTACTTTTGTACTTAGATACAAAGAATAATACTCTAACTCATCTCCTAATTTTTTTTTCTCTCAGGTCCGGTTATGGACCGGTCCAGAACCGGACTGGAACTTGGGTCCAGTCCACTACCCGTCCACATAGGTCCGGTCCCCAGTCCGGGACACTCCCGGACCGCAGATTTGGTCCGGTCCTGAGTCCAGGTGAAGTATGCCCGGACCGGACCAGGACCGGACTTCAGCAACTATAGTATATACGAATGAATACAAGACAAAGGGGATTCTGTTTATCTTACTGCCTGACCAATTTAGCAAGAAAAATGCAATTTTTGGTTGTAAGCTGTGCGAACTATGAGAGGCAGAATGGCACGAGTAGTGTGGGATCGGCTGGAACAGCAGAACAAACCTACTCATTTCGAGCCTTTAAGTTGATCCTGCATCACAAAACCGAGTATATGTGTGCCCTGTAAGCACAGTGATTTTTAGAGAGTGTAAAGAGAATTTTATGTGGAGTTTTACATGTGCTAGATTTTTTGCAATCTGACCCAAGCACAAGGACAAGTAGGTTTGTGTGAGTTCTATTTTCTCTAACTCAATACACTCTGAACCATTCTGAAATATTTTTACAGATTCTGAAGCACATTAAATAGAGGAAAATTTAGGTAGCTCATTCAATACATTTGACGGCCTATTTATTGAAAAAAATGCATTTCTGTTGCCTTTTTTTTTTTTTTTGCATACTACATGTCACAAATACACGTGATTTCGGGTTTTGCCATTACTTTTGCAAATAGCTGTAATACATCTAATGTTGTGAAGTACTTACTCACATCACAAAAACAAACACGAAAATGTATTGGAATATATTGCTAAGACATATATTTTTTGTATATTGTGGGTCCTTATATTCGATTGTATTGTCTACATGTACATATATTGCCTTGTCAGACTCTGCACAAAAGTGCGATGCAATTACCTTAAACGTCCATCTTTCCTACGTACGGCACTTGCCGATATCAAAAAGGAATAAATTCACGTGATACGAGTTTATTCTTTTGTGAGAACTTGTGATCTAATAGTGATTTGTCAACTGTTGAATGAATGCCAAAATGGACTTGTAAGTCGGCTACTTAATCTATATGCTGCAACAGTGGACTAGGCAAGCATGGGGTTTAATGAAGGTTTTGCGTTCCTGACTCTTGACAGGGTTTGCTCATTACAAAGCAAGTGTTTGTTATCATCTTCCTAAATTAGTAAATAGGGAGCTTGCCGTCAACGTTTACCACCTCAACTCTGAAACTTCCAATAATTTTCCGTAAATAATTTTGCAAAGCTTCGTTCGTCGGCCGATGCACGCAAGTGCGACGTGGACGGCGTGATGCAGTCGAATTACCAGCTGGCCCTTGGTATATCCTCTACAAGACTACGAAGACCCTGCTCGAGAGGACTAGCAGAATTCCCTTTACAGGGAAGTAAAGAAAAAGAAAAATGCGGGCAGCACGAGTACGACCGCCCATAACGCCGCTCATCGTGGGCCTTCATCCTCGTCTCCTCTTTGCCACTAGGCTGCTGTTCTTGCGCACGATGGCCTCTTCTGCGTCATCGGCGAAGATAATCGACGGTACTGCGCTCGCAAAGTACGTCCGTTTTCTTCACTTTTATTTTAATGCCATGATATCTAAGCAAATAAAATTCTTAGATCGATACGAAATGACGTTGCACAGAAAATCGCAGCGCTAAAGGCAGTCCACCCGCACTTCGCACCGCAGCTCGCGATCATCCAGGCTGGTGCACGCCCGGACTCGAGCACGTATGTGCGTATGAAGGCCAAAGCGGCCGCAGAAGTCGGTATCGCATTCAAGCACGTCGCTTTACCGGCAGAAGCCTCCGCAGACCAGGTCGTCAATCACGTCCATAAACTCAACGAGGACGAGGGAGTCAGCGGAATCCTGGTGCAGCTTCCGCTTGGGGAACACGTTGGCGTTGAGGGCGAGAGGAAGGTCACGGAAGCCGTCAGTCCAGAGAAGGATGTCGATGGGTGAGTTAGCTGATCTTCTCAACATCCATTACTCTGGCTTAAGTTTGTGTGCGTAGGTTTCATGCCTATAATATCGGGCACTTAGCATCACGCGCCTCAGATCCGCTGTTCTTGCCATGCACTCCTTCCGGCTGTATCGCACTTCTTGAGAGTACAGGTGTCCAGATCGCGGGTTCTCATGCCGTTGTTCTCGGGCGCAGCGATATTGTTGGCAATCCTGTCGCGGCGATGCTTCGTAAACGGGATGCAACCGTTACACAATGCCATAGCCGGACAAAAAACTTGCCTGAGATCGTGCGTCTAACCAGATGAACTATTGACTTTTATTTAATAAGTAACTGACGTCATTTGTTACAGCTCAAAACTGCTGACATTGTCGTAGCCGCTATCGGCAAGCCCGAGTTTGTGAAGGGTGAATGGCTCAAACCGGGTTGTGTGGTCATCGATGTTGGGATCAACTACATTCCGGGTTGGTTCAACCTAAATATTTGTCTAGCCTTATCTTATTTTTAATATTTGATGCTACGCAGATGCCACGAAGAAATCTGGTCAACGCCTCGTCGGCGATGTTGACTTCACCTCTGCCTCCTCCGTCGCATCACATATCACTCCAGTCCCTGGCGGAGTCGGTCCAACGACCGTCGCCATGCTCATGGCCAATACTCTTGCCTCTGCTGAACGTCTCTTCGCTGCATCACGCGAACGACGCGTCACTCCACTTCCTCTCACTGTTCTCGAGAAGGTGCCAAGCGACATCGAGATCGCAATGGCGCAGACGCCGAAGCCTATCACGACTCTAGCGACAGAATTAAGTCTACGCGCAGACGAGCTCGAGAGTTACGGAAAATATAAGGCGAAGGTCGACCTGAGTGTTCTTGAGAGACTGGCCCACCGTAAAGATGGGAAATATATCGTTATTTCTGGTATTACACCAACTCCACTTGGTGAGGGCAAATCGACGACAACAATTGGGCTTGCTCAGGCTATTGGAGCGCATCTTGGACGTCCGGCTTTCACATGCGTTCGTCAACCAAGTCAGGGACCGACTTTTGGTATTAAGGGCGGTGCGGCTGGAGGAGGATACAGCCAGGTCATCCCAATGGATGAGGTATATGTTAACATATAAGTTCTTGAAATAGCCAACTAACTCTTTATTCAGTTCAACTTGCACCTCACTGGTGACATTCATGCCGTTACTGCAGCAAATAATCTGCTCGCTGCTGCCTTGGATGCTCGCATGTTCCATGAAGCTACTCAAACTGACAAGGTTTGTGTAACATTGGTAATCGAGTGAACAGCCATCTTATTCTCTCTTTCGCCAGGCTTTGTACAACCGTCTTGTTCCGACAATCAAAGGAAAACGCGAATTCGCCCCACTTATGCTCAAGCGTCTCCAAAAACTCGGAATCGACAAGACGGATCCTAACAGCCTGACACCAGAAGAGATCACGCGCTTCGCGCGGCTTGACGTCGACCCAGAGACTATCACATGGAACCGTGTACTCGACACGAACGATCGCTTCCTGCGTAAGATCACCATTGGGCGAAACCCGACGGAGCAAGGTCATGAACGGGAGACAGGATTCGACATCGCGGTTGCGAGCGAGTGTATGGCAGTTCTCGCGTTGACGACTAGTCTATCGGACATGCGCGAACGGTTGGGTACAATGGTCGTTGCGACGAGTAAACACGGTGACGCGATTACAGCAGACGACGTTGGTGTTGGAGGTGCACTAGCAGTTCTTATGAAGGATGCTATCAAGCCAAACCTGATGCAAACTCTCGAGGGTACTCCGGTATTTGTACATGCAGGACCCTTCGCGAACATCGCACACGGCAATTCCTCTATCCTCGCGGACCGTGTTGCACTCAAGCTCGCTGGTACAGAGGACGGTGACGATTCCTCTCGTGTTGGGTTCGTACTCACCGAAGGTGGTTTCGGTGCGGATATGGGTATGGAGAAGTTCTGCAACATCAAGTGTCGCGTGAGTGGACTTACACCCGACGCAACTGTCATCGTCGCCACAACGCGTGCGCTCAAGATGCATGGAGGCGGACCGGAGGTCACACCTGGTAAACCGTTGCATGAAACGTATACGTCGGAGAACTTGGAGATTTTGCGTGAAGGGTGTAAGAACCTCGCAAAGCATATCGTGAACTCGAAGAAGTTTGGTATCAAGGTTGTCATTGGTATCAACAAATTCGCGTTAGTCTCACTTGCTTATCGTTCTTTGAGCAGTCGTATTGATGATAGCTACCTATGTCCAGGTCGGACACCCCCGCAGAACTCGAGCTCATACGTCAAGAAGCGTTAGCAGCTGGTGCGGACGCCGCAGTAGTATCAGACCACTGGGCACGTGGAGGTGCGGGTGCGGTTGACCTTGCTAAGGCCGTCGTTGCCGCTTGTGAAGGCGAATCGCATTTCAAGTTCCTGTATGATCTTGACAAGCCCATCGCGGAGAAGATCGAAATCATCTCGAAAGAAATTTATGGTGCCGATGGTATTCAGCTAAGCGAGCTTGCGCAGAAGCAGGTCGAGACGTATACTAAGCAAGGCTATGGGAACCTTCCCAGTAAGTTTAACTTTCATTACAAATGTGATAAATCGTTTCTTATGCTTATTATTCGTAGTTTGCATGGCGAAGACACAGTATTCGTTCTCACACGACCCGAAGCTCAAGGGTGTTCCGACAGGTATGTTGTTTTTTGTCCTAATTGACCGGTGTGCTTAAAATATTTGTTTGAAGGTTTCACTATCCCTATCCGCTCTGTACGCTTGTCTGCTGGTGCAGGTTTCCTTTACCCAATCCTCGGTGACATGCAAACCATGCCTGGACTCGGCACACGTCCTGGTTTCTGGGAAGTTGGTTTAGATCCAGAGACTGGGCGTGTCGTTGGACTTTTCTAAATTCTTCGTATAAGGTCAACGCCCCACTGCCCCTCCCCTTGATCTAACGTTGCACCGAGCATTGTTCTCAACAACATCTGGCATTATTACTTCAACAGTTATAGAGAGCACTCCATTATTCCAACCATCGCCCATAGAGGTTTCCGATCTGGATTGGACTTATAGTCATACGTCTAGATGAGGGCCTTGTAGATGCGTTTTCTAGACTGCAACTCTACTTGCAGCACTAATCGTTCTTGCTGTATCGTTTTCTTCATCGTTCAACCGGTATTTTAGTACTACTTAAGTACGTTCTTTCGGTGTAACTTAGAATATTTTCTTGTTTTCTCTCTGTTTCTGTATGTAGGTTAAAGTGAACAAAAGAATAAATAGGATAAAAGTAGAAAACGTACTATACTGCTATTCTTGCGTTGACTTCAACGCTGAACTGCACCACTAACAAAGGCTAATATATTGACTCCGAGAGCTCGGTCCCGCCGATTTTGTTTCTACTCCTATTCTGAAGTCGAGTCAGGCTCTAATAATATTTTCAAAGATACGTAACGACATAAATTATAATGGATATTAATATGAGGAGGTATTACATCTGGTCTGGATAAGCACTTACCGCTTAAAGCGCGTGGGAAAAGTAGCTCATCGTTTGGACTGGCAGTCTTCAGCACTTCTTGACTGAGTTCCACTCACAACTCGCGTGCAAAAGGAGCCCGTAATCGTCTAAACACCAATCTATAGGACGCTATGGGAGCTCTTTCTGGCAGATTGAGGATGCATACCCCATATTTCTGGAAACCATGTTGTGCTAGGCCAACATGCTGCGGGCGCCTCTTCTGTGTGGTAATACTTATTTCCGACTCTGGATTTTCTGCGTACACTGCGAAATGTGACCTTCTTCTACCTTCTATGTCTATCTACGTGAAGAGCTTAAATGCCAAGGGGTGTGCGCGGTCCTAAGCCTGCACCTCTTCTATTGGCCATCATGTCCAAAGTATCCGCCGTCTCTCGTGTGTTTGATCTCGCAGAACTGAAAAATCAAGTCTTCATATTCCTGGACAAGAAGGCAATAGCAAAATGTGCCATTGTATGTAAAAGCTGGACGAAAGAGGCCCTGTATCGTTTATGGCGTGATTTGGAATCGATATTCCCCTTGCTGCGTCTTCTAGGAGAGTTCGAGGTAGAAGGACGAATTCTACTCAATGGAATGGTGAGCAATATCCAACTAACTTCACGTAATTATTCACAAATTCCATACTTGCAGATGCGCATGAGGTCGCCTTCTACGGGCCCCGTGCTGACGTTTAACGAGATTCCCTGCGAACACCGTTGGATGAGGTTCAACGTTTACGCTTCACTCGTAAGGAAACTCCAGCTTTCGAACTACTCCGATTACAAGCATGCGCCTCTCATTTCTCGCGACCATCCGGCTTACTTCGGGAGATCCATGTTAGAGGTACTCAGCAACGGTGAAAAGTATCCTCGGCTTCTGCCTAATCTCGAAAACCTCCATGTCGACGCGTCCATCGATGTCTCTATATTTTCTCTGGCGAGTTTATTGTTCGGAGAACTGAAGAGCTTGGAATTCGCCGTTGATATTATGCCACGTCACGAAAGGATTTCTCTAACGCCTCTCAAATTGTTCTTGAAAGATGTCCTAGCACTCTCTCCTAACCTTCAGTGCTTTGGCGTCAAGGCTGTTCCGGGCTTGGAAATACACTGGCATGGAAAGAGTCTTGATCACCACGCGGAGCTGGAGTGGATGATACAGGAGTTTCTAATTCAGATGCCCAACTCGTTGACGGTAGTGAAGGTGAATAGTACTATGCTTACCCCCGATCTTTTCAACATGCTGTCCACCTTCCCTCGCATTCAGTCGCTGCAAAACTCCGGTAGGCGCAGTTACTATGCGCCAAGGATGTTGACGATACCTGAATCGGTTGACGAGAACGCATTTGCAGCACTCAATTGTCTATTCTTGCCTATTGAAGCGCGGACCGCAGTTCTTACGTTGGCTAGACTGAGTCACATCTTGGGGCATCTCACTTCACTCTCTGTCGCGTGTCGCGACTATGCCACTCCGGAAAAGTGTCATGACCTCTTCATTGCGATATCACGATTGTGTCCGGGACTTTCGTCCCTTGAGATCGTAGCATGCACGTCTAGGGGCATCATCGGAGGATACGACAGTCCAGACGAATGGTACGCGGATAATAACCTCGTTAGCAGTCGTGAGAAAAGAGCTCGCCTCTTATCCATCAATTTACTTTTGGAGCTTCGTAATTTGAAGGAACTAACGATTCTGCTGGACTTCATCCTTCCTATTACGGACGAGGAGCTGGACATAGCACTGTTACGTCGTAGGACACCGCTAGAAGTCCTTCAGCTCTCATGGAATCCAAGGCGGCTGGATTTAGATCACCCGAACCTGACTTTCGATGCGATCTGTATCGTTGCCCGGCGTTGCCCAAGAATCAGGATACTATCGTTGTTCGTAATAGTTCCGCAATGTGGACGATTCGGCGAATGGTTCCCTACGTTCAAATGCCTGGAGGAGTTAAACCTAGGGCTTTCCTATATCTCGACTCTGTTAATCAACCGGACGGCGATGAAACTCTCAGAACTCTTTCGCGACGTTATTCCAGAGGTCTCCGTGAGCCAACATACTGGCGACTTTGATAAATGTCAGCTCGAGAATCTACATGTCGGTATTGTGCAAGAGAACTGGATGAACTGGGAGAAAGTCGTAAATATCATGCACAGGGTTAGGGGTGTGCCAGATAGGAGTGGGTTGCGTCGGTTTGCACGCTCAGAGCGTCGCGTTGTTGATCAACTTTGGGGTAGGCGGGTCACTTACGAAGACTGAGTGTTGCAGACTTCCATCTTACCACCGATACTAAGAGCTTTGCCAATTCCAAGTGGTAATTGTTGGTTTTATCTTGAATCCCTTAGAATACTTCTCCAGCTTATGCTTTGCACTGCACATAGAGATTATTCGTGGCTCAGTGATTCTCAGCAATTGTACGAGTATTGTAGTTCAAGCGATCTGAGGAAAGAAGATTAGTAGTTAAATGAGTCCAGTTGCTCGTATAGGTCGAATTTACAAATATTTCCCTGTGTATTATTCGATGTCTCACACTCGTATAACCTTTGAGAGTATCAGTGCGTCATTACCAGTGGTGGAGGGCTTTCCCCTTCTGCTGTAATGCGTGCTCGCAAATGGTTTACAGATACCCTTGACCTGATGGTTTTACAGATTTAGGAACAGCTTCAATTTATGATGCGAGTTGAAGATGGATAACTACGGGGCCTTAGCGTGTCGAGTGCTATAACAAGGCGCTCGCTTCTATTTCGAACACCCGCAGCGCGCACTATTCTGTACTGTGAGTAACCCTTCCATCTTAGAAAAAAACTAATCATTAAGAATAAAAGAAATTGTCGAGGCGATGAATGGAAATACCTCCTAGATACACTCTGCAAAAGATCAAGCTTGCGTTCTCGACAACAAGCATACTGCGAAAACACTTGATAGATGAAGCAATCCCCTTCAAGATGGTGGACACTGGACTTGGTGAAAAGTAAAGCAAAAAGACAGTTCGGACATATGTACAATGATTATCCATGTTATATATCACATAACCATTGATTCTTTCTCTGTTAAAGTTGCTCATGCTGTCTTTTCCATCTATCACTTGGCCATTCTCACTACATAACTCCAAACAAGCTGGGACGTACGGTTCGTACAGAGTATCAGCAAATACTTTATAACAGGAATAGTTTATAGATACAAGTTGATACTGATAAGCTCTACACCAGCGGTCTTTGGTACGCTTCAGGTATCGTCAATTACGACTAGTCGTCATCCGAGCTAATATCCTATTGTACAATATATCAGGTAAAGCATAAACAAACCAGTAAAGCCATGTACTCACTTCTTCGATATCAGGATACTCTTCCCCGTCTGAATCAAGACCACGATTCCACCATGGTGCCTTAGCATCGTAGTAACTGTAGTATATGTTAAATCGTGTTTATGTACCAAGCAAATATAAAGGAACATACTGTAGTTTTTCATCGTTAATGGGGTCGGGACTCTGGCGTCTCTTCCCACCTTGCTTCTCAACTACCTTGAGTCGAAATAGTGGTATTAAATTGGACTCATCCGAAGACGCTGAACGGTAAGAGCCGCTAGCAGAGATGCCTTCCGCAATCCATTTTGGCTTCTCTCCTCCTGATTTATCAGAGCTCGTATCATTGGGCGAAAACGGGCCAGGGCACAACGCGATGGAGACGTTTCCCTCCTCTGTATAAAATGCATTGTTAGCAAGACGCAGAAGTACAATGCACGCAAGAAAGGCACATACTCTTATCCGAAAGATACATTGCATATGCAGGGGACTTGTGAACGTGCGTCACGATGCATTTCCCTTTTACCCACTCACACTCCTTCAATTCTTCAAGAAGCACTCCCGGAACCGTTGTCGTCTTTGCCTTATGGATGAGCAGAACTGCCCCACGTCTCTTGCTGAAATGCCATTGACCACCGACGAGCGGTTTCGACTTCCCGAAAATATCCCTATAAATACAATCAATAAACCGAGCACCGTGCTAAGTAGGAACACACACGGATCGAACTGAGTCTTCGGGTTGATTATATCTGTACCCAAGGAGTAATACTGCATATCCTTCGTCTCTGAACCATGGATGGGCGGGTATTTCGTCGTGATCTCCGCGATGCTGTCATCGCGATAGAGGTTTCCTTGCTTTTCAAACTTCCCTGACTCGTAGTTTATTCCACCGTAATCACCAGCCTAAGCGACTGTTAGGTCAAGCAGGAGTATGAAAAAGCGTGATGTTACTCACTTCTATGGGGTTCGATGGGTCCCAGTTAGCATATTGTTCGCCAGAGGGAAACTTGATGAGGTCGATGTACAAGCGCGATTCATGCATTATGTCAGCGGACGAAGTAAGACTGTACAAGTCAAATGGGGAGATGCAGACGCGAGAGTCGAGCCTCCTTATATAGCTAAGATTCACAAAGGCCACAACGATCATATTCATCATTTCCCCCTAATATGTCACAGCGCCAAACAAGAGCACAGTGCGGTGGTACTGACATTACAATTGATACTCTTAGATATATGACCACAGACGACATGCACGTTTGGCACTGTTACAATACCATTATTCAATAAATGACAAGCTTGACTTTCTGCATTCAAACCTGAATACGACACAGCTTTGTCTTACTTTGTTCTACCTTTGGACCTTTGGTGGGAAAGACTTAATGAGTTTATTAGCATGCTGCATGACAAATAATTGGAGGGAAGTAACTTGGTACTACATGCAGTGCTTGTTCGATAACAAAATGCTTCAAGCTACATTGAGGTATATAGAGCGCATACACTCAGAAAGTTACAGTCTTTCAGAACCTCGAGGACGGTCATAATTCGACTAACATTTACGGGTCTACTCAAATAGTGACATGGTATTCCTCTCATTTTCTACTCATTCGTCTATAATTTACGGGATTGAAAACAGTAAACTTCAGCAGGTTTATTCGGGTCAGTTGCTGGAAGCACTCACTGGTTGTGTCCCAGAATGTTTCTCATATTGTGACTTTAGCTCACCCATAGCGGAGGCTGCTGCACTGAAGTTAAGGTAAGTAGCGATAGAGGATGCAATATCTTCCGGTGAAGGGGGAATGCCCTTAGTAGTAAGCTCCTTCTTGTAATCGCTCTCTTCCTTTTTCAGCATATCGTTGATGGCGCTCTCTATCTCTTTCCGGCCACGATCCATCAGTCTCTCGAATTCAGGCATTGCCAATTTCCGCATCTCCGAGATAAGCGGGTCAATTGTCATCTCCTCCAATGTCTCTATTAGTTTACTCTCGACTATGGCTTCATAGTAGACAATGCGAGACTAAGACATGCAGCATAAGATCAAAGGAAGATATAGTTATTTGAAAGTATCATACCTTCCAGCAGTCAATTTTCAGCACGTCTCGTATCCGTTGACGACAATTGTTGTAAAGCTCGGAAAGTGAAGCTTCCTTCACTCTAGCAGGTACATTCGTCGTCTCAGCAATTACTCGTCCAATGATTGCATCTTTCTGCGCTCCATCGAGTCTATTGCTGAGGCTCTGGGCAAGATAATCAACCTGCTTCATGACCTGCTTATCAACGTGGTCCTTGCGAACACGTTGAAGGAACTCGTTTTTGATAGTCTCCAGAGCGAAGATGGCCTTCGGTTGAAAGGCTTCGGAGAATTCACGAATTTTCTGCTCGTCATCGAAGCGAAAGGTCCCTAAAGAAGTGCTTGGGATTACCTTCAAAGTAAGAGATCAGGATTAGAAAAGAGGCAGGCTAAAAATTAAACTAACATGTTCCCTGCTTTGTTCCATCTCCTTCTGAAAGTTTTCTTGAATAGATTTATGTAGCTTTGCTTTAAGTTCATCAAACGCGCTGTCGATGTCGTTCACTGCTTCGTCATGAAGGGATGTTTCATTGTTTCTCCATAATCTCCTTGCAATGTCGATCTGCTTCTTCGCCCTATCAAAAAGCCTTTTTGCTGAGCTCGCATTCTGCACGGGTTCTCCCCAGACGTTGCAGAGCTGATCTTGATAATGCGAAACTTCTTTGGTAACGAATCATGACTACTTATCGTCCATTGACTCACCTTTGTGCATCAAGAATCCTTGTGAGTAAGAAATCGATGTTAGCGATTCCTGCAGACAGTGCCGCTGACTGTGAATTTAACAGGATATTTGTGAACTGAGACACCGCGCGTTCACTCCGCTCTGGTTAATGACGCCGTCGAGTTCGTCCTTCCATTCATCGAGTGACAGCCTTTCATAATTTCTTCTCGCACTTTGTCCTGCGCCGCAAATTTGGGTAGCGCACTTGACTGTCGCTTTAGGAGTTGAATCAGACGAGAAACAAAGCACCATTCTCACCTGAGACTCGGGAGTACGTCTCGACTCGTCGAAGATGGACTCGAACACTGGTTTTGTACCTTGGGTAAGCATAAGACTCAGTAGCCTTTGCGCCCCGAATCCCAAGAGAGACGAGCAGCATATGCATTTTGATGCAACGTCCTCATTACCCGACCCTGGGTTCATAACCTTCCAGGCTGTGTTTCTCAGCATCTCAACATCATTGTTTTTTTGGGCAAACTTTAAGCGGGTGTTAAGAATTTGTTCGTCATAACATGAGAGCTTAAATATAAATCATACCTGATCCAAATGCGTACAAATAATGAGCGGAGTCTCGATAGCGGAGCCCACGACGTTTGGTAGGATAGATCGCCAGTGATTCTTTGATACATCTTTAAGAGATACAACCGGGACTATGGCATAGACGCATCCTCTAACTGCTTCAACTATATCAATGTAGACAAGATTCTGTAACGTCGTAAGTTCTCAAAATTAAAATGTGGATATCTCGTATCACTCGCATTGACAGTAGCTTCATCAATTCCCTGTGTGGATGTTAATTAAAGTTAATATGCATTAAGAAAGTTGTGGGAGATTACCGGCAGATCAAAAACCTGCACGAAATAAGGTACTGTATAATGCGTGTATGTAAATGCTAGCTCACCTCAAAAGCGCCAACGAAGTTCTTCTGAGTGAATGACGAGAATTTGACAATTAGCAAAGGCCAAACACTCATGTCCTGCTTGAAAGGCACATCAAACATGTAACAGAGCCTGGCTATGTCGTTGACTTGTCCGAGCTATCATGACTAAGCTCGTGTTGCTTGCAAAAACGGAATCGGAGACTCACGAGCTTTATGACTGCACCTTCACCGTGTGCTTCGCGCGACAACTTGAAGGCTGGGTCCTTATATTCATGCCAACTCTCCCGCGTCAGTGAAGGCAGCTCTTCCCACTTCGTGGACTCCTTTAGGCCTTCTAAGAAATCAGCAGCTACATAAAGCGTTGTACTGGAATTGGAATGAGCGGATACCTGGAAGTTTTGTTCGCAATTGTTCCAAACATTCTTGCAGAATTCAGAATCTGGCTTGCACACTACAAGATGTGGTTCTTGATCATCTCCGTGACGTATTCGGCAAGGTAGTGCTGTACAAGGTAGATCTTCAACAGGAGTAAGTGAATTGCAATACTTGAGCAAAATGTAAGAATGGAACCTACCCTCCGACGGGAGTAGTTTCTGACCTATTATGGCATTTAAGAATAGGGACTTCCTGGAATTAACTGGTAAGTACAGCACTCTGCCAGGTTCGATCAGTAACTAACCCTGCCTTTGTCAGCCCACATATCGCAATACGGAAAATTTTTCGCCTTTCCCGCTCGATCTCGTAACGGACCTTTTCTGCACAATCTTGCAGAACAGATAGATATTTTGAATCGAGATAATCACCGACCGAAGGCTTATTATTGTGAACATCCAAAATCTTCCCATACCATGGCGACTCGTGCTTGGAAAGTGTTTTAGCGGATATGTACTTGATGTCTGACTCTAAATGGCATCGCAGCCATTCCAGAACATGAAGGTAGGACTGTGCCACTCGATCAACGCCCTGTATATCATGATCCCGTTCCAGATAGTGCATGAAATCTTCGACATGTTCACAAGCAAGACGTTTGGTAATTTTATTTGAATCCTCCGTTGGACCGGTCGGCGAGTTCAAGTTGCAAAGCGTTTCCACATATTCATTGGGCTTGGTGGCGTCTGTGAACATATCGAATGGATGTTCAGAAAAAAGCAGGTCCAGCAAAGCTGTTTCGGCCGAGAAGTCCTTCGCATGCACCCGGTGATCGTGCATGGCTCCCGATATGATTGAAACAAGGTGCTTTTTGTAGATGTTGCGAATCGCATCGAGTGCACCGGCAGCACGAGAAGAGCGGGACCCCAAATCCTAACGGCCATTGACAGCTGTAGTGATTAAGCTAGCTGGTTATTAGTACTTACAGAAACGATTTGATCCGGACTGAATTGTTGCGGCTCGCTAGCCAATGCTTTAATAGCCTCGATTTCAGATTGCACTTTCGCAACCTTTTGAGCAGACCGTGCGACCTCCTCCGGTGATAGACAACTCTTTCGAGCAATACGCAAGATACTCGAGATACAAAAGTGGGCCATTTTTAGCCTGTCCTGAATGCATGCGATCCGTTGGCAGTATTGCTCTCTATGTGCGATCCCCGAAGTCTTTGCACCCTTTTCCAGCCATCTCACGCATTCGATTGCTTCCAATAGTGTGGATGGTATGTCTTCCAGTCTGGGCATGATTAATTCCATGAGGGCTGAGCACTGATTCGACTTTGAGAGATGACTGTGGCTGGGGAAAGTCCAACGAGCGGGGATGATGGAGATCGCACTTCAAGGGTCCCAAGAATTTCATAAATGTCGCATAAGTACAGCCATCCGATACGCCTAGTACATCCATTAGTATTGAATATCGGATATTAACGAAGTTGCAAAGGCTACCATACTGATTTCATTGATAAGGCCATATATAAAAGGCACACGCTTTGGCTGCATGTTTTCTTACGTGGGTCAGTAGGGCCGTGGGCATTGAGCCATGAACTTCCCCAGCTTCTTTCAAGAAGAAACGATCATAATACGACGAAACGTTCTTACCGAATTTCCTTTACTATCCATAACAGGTATTCATATCTCACGCGATAGAACACCAACGGTCGAATGGAAAAGGAGCTTCTTCTGAATTCTGACGTTGACACTCATTATTGACTTGCATCTCGTACCTTGTGTATTTGCCGGCGCTAGCAGGTCCTCCGCATGGCAAATTCTTGGACATATGAGGGTGACAAAGACTTCTGACAGAAAGGAGCCTGCACCGAGTGCTGTTGGTCCGGTGTTGGAGTTACGTCTGCCATAGGTGGTGATGCTGCATGGTCTTTCGTCTGATAGGAATACTGATTGCCGGAAAAGTAGCTTTTGTTTCTTAAAAGTGATGAGTAGCAGCGATTTCTAGTTGCGTTTTCCGCTTGGCACGTGTACCTTCTCGTGATAGGAGGGGAATGACACGTCGGCTCAGCCTTCATCTCTTATACAAGAAACCACCAGCATGCCATCCGCCGTATCCCACGTATTTGGACTCACAGAGCTGCAGGACTGCATTTTTGAATATTTGGACAAGGGCGAACAAGCTAAATGCGCGTGTGTCTGCAAGGGTTGGACGAATGCGGCTGTATATCGTTTATGGAATGAGATGGACTCTGTCGTCCCGCTGCTGCGAGTTCTAGGAGAGTTTATGGCGGATGGGCGGGCTTTATCCGTCGGTTTGGTGAGCGATATATGTTTACCAACTGTCAGACTCATTCACAAATTTCGGACGTTCAGGTTCGCAAGACGGCCAGAACTACAAGTTATTCATTGACATTTTCCGGCGAGCCAAGTGATGAACGTTGGGCGAGGTTTCATCTCTATGCAGCGTTGATAAGCACACTTCGGCTTTCGAACTATTCCAACTATGATTGCGTCCCTCTCTTTACTCGCACTTCTCCTGTGCAATTTGGACGTGCCGTACTACGAATAATTAGCAACGGGCAGACACATCCGCGACTCCTACCCAACGTCGTAAACCTTCATGTCGACGCGTCGGTCGATGCCTCTGTATTTTCACTTGCGACTTTACTATTTGGACAATTAAAGGGCTTAGAGCTGGTTGTCGATGTCACGCCGCATAAGTCTGTGTCTTGGACGCCTCTTAAGCGGTTCCTTACAAATATCTTATCACTATCGCCCGACCTTCAGTGCTTCAGTGTTAAGGCAACACCAGGGGCAGCGTCAAGATGGCATGGCAAGAGTCTTACGCATCATTCGGAACTTGACCAGATAATACGAGATTATCTTTTGCATATGCGAACATCGTTGATAACGGTGAAGGTGAACAGTACATTATTCACCCCGGAACTTTTTGACATGTTGTCAAACTTTCCGTGTATCCGCTCCATTCAAAATTCTGGTCGTCGTGCATACCATACTCCCAAACCATTACAGATATCTTCGCGGATAGCGGACGGCGCGTTCCCCGCACTGAAGAGTTTATTCCTGCCTATAGAAGCAAATTCTGGAATCACTGTATTCGCCATGCTAGGGCATACACTCGAAAACTTGACCTCACTTTCGGTTGTCTGTCTTGATTATCTCAGTTCACTGAAGTGTCATGGTCTGATTGTTGCGATATCTCAATCCTGTCCGTCACTCTTGTCACTCGAGGTCGTAGCGTGCACCTCTAGGAACGCCATTGGAGGTCATACGAACGCAACGGCCCAATGGTGGGAGGACAATAGTGGTCCCGCTAGCCGCGAAAGGAGAATGGATTGTTTGTCTCTTGCACCATTGTTTGAGCTTCGTAGCCTGAAGGAACTCACACTTCAACTCGACTTTGTTCTTCCAATAACTGACTTGGAACTAGAGCAAGCATTGTCGCGTCGAAGGATTCCGTTCGATGTCTTACAGCTCTCGTGGACTCCAAGGCGATTTGATATAGACCGCCCAAACCTGACACTCAAGGCACTCGACATTATCGCTCATCATTGTCCAACCATCAGGATACTATCGATTCTCATAATGGTCGAAGACACATCTTTTGTGCCGTGCTCGTCATTCAGATGCCTAGAAGAGCTGAACATGGGACTGTCCATAATGCCACCTCATCTACTCAACCAAACAGCGGCAATACTTTGCAAACTCTTTCGCGATTGCCTTCCAGAGTTCTCCGCAAGTCAACATACGGGCCACTTCGACAAGTGTCAGATTGACGCCGAACGAGGCAGAGGAGTGCTGGAAAACTATAAGAAATGGGAGAAAGTGATTCGTATCGTCAACAAGTCAAAAGGTGTGGTGAATGGTCGTGAATTGTGCCGCTTTGCTCGTTCGGAACGTCGATTGTTTTATCCAAGTGCCGAAAATCGGATCCCTGGTGCCTAACTGTGCTCTTATGAGTTTCCATATATTATCTCAGAAGTTTTGTAGAGAGCCGTGTTATCCTGTCATTTGCTGCACATCAAATATACTTGAAGTCTTGGAAAAGGATGAGTAGTATTTCAGTTGTTAGTGATTCATATCGAAGGGCCAAAAGGTAGAATAGACCATCGGAGTGTGAAAGAAGAAAATGGACGAGCATTTAGATGGCCTGGGTTATCATGCAATGGTGGGAGATGCGATAAAACATTACAGGTTCAGACGCTACATTTGTGATATTCTGAAAGCGGACAACGTCAACCGCGGCAAAAGGAATAAATTCGGAAAGGCCGAAGTTTCTAATATCTCCATTTCTAGAAACCATCAAAACACAAGAAAGTATTTGTGACTGTCAATGCAATTGTATTCAAATACTACACTTGATAGCCCAGGTCCTACGTATTGCATTACATATGCATGACAAGGAACATTTCCGCTGTTGAAGTCCTGTGATATGCCTCGAAGTTCAGCAATTGCTGGTTGAGTACACCAAGAAATGACTCACTGGCTACGTCGCAGAATGTTTCTCGTATTGTGACCTCAACTCACCTATAGCGGAAGCAGCAGCGCTGAAGTTCAGGTAAGACGCGACTGCAGCTGCGACATCCTTTGGTGAAGGAGGGGTGTCCTTATTGGCGAGCTCCTTCGCAAAGTCCCTATCCTCCTTTTCTAGAAGTTTTTTGATAACACTTTCCACTTCATCCCGACCGTCATTCATTAGGCGGTTAAATTCGGGGACGGCCATCCTTCGAATATCTGAGACGAGAGGATCTATCGCCGTCCTTTTCAAAGAATCGATGACCTTCTTCTCATCAATGACACTGTAGAAATTCTCCCCTGTCTAAAAGTAGGTTGATTGTCAGAAAGAATGAGGTGTACCATGCAAAGGGCACTCACCTTTCCGCATCCCTTGTCAAATGTCTCTCGTACACGCTGGCGACAATATTGGAAGAGGTCGGAAAGCGATACATTCTTCGTTTCGGCAGGTATGTTTACTGTTTCTGCAATTATTCTTCCTATGATAGCGCCTTTTTGAGTCCCGTCAAGCCGACTGCTAAGGCATTGGGAAAGGAAGTCAATTTGACTTGTGATCTGCTGATCCACAATGTTCCGCCTTGTTCGCTCTATGAATTGGTTCTTGATGAGCTCCATTGCAAAAACGGCTTTCGGTTGGAAGCCTGACAAAAATAGTTTGCTTTTGGATTCATCGTTGAAGCGTACGCGCTCCAGGGAAAGATTCGAAATACCCTTGAAATTTTTGATCGATCAATCTACAATACCAGTAAGTTTAGTGGGTCAACTAACTTCTGCCCCATGTTCCTTCTTAAAAGAATCGAGCTCCTTCTTGAAATTATCACGAGCCGACTGAAGCAAGTTTGCTTCAAGTTCAAGGAAAGCATCCTCAATGGCCCCCGACGCATTCTCCCTAAGATTGCGGTCCCTGGCAATCCATGATCGTTTCGCGGCATTGATTTCCTTCTTAGCAGCGTCAAAAGCTTTCTTGCTAACCTCACATTCTTCGCGTGTGCGGCCTAGTCGCTGGAGGGCGGATCTGTAAGGAACAGTCATTTGGCAACTAACTGGCAACTCACGAATCTTAAACTTACTTTCGTACATCAAGTATCCTTGTGAATATGAAATCGATATTTGCAATTCCTGCCGACAAAGCTGCTGACTGTGCATTTAACAGGACATTTGTGAACTGAGACACTGCGCGCTTCACACCGCTCCGGTCAATGACGTCGTCAAGTTCGTCCCTCCATTCATCGAATGACAACCTCTCATAATTTCTTCTCGCACTTCGTCCTACGCCGCAAATCTGAGTAGCGCACTTGTTATGTTTTAGAGTTAAATCAGCCGATGAGTAGATTATGATTCATACCTCATATTCTGGAGTGTATCTTGACTCATCAAAGATGGACTCGAACGAGGGTTTCGTGTTTTGAGCAAGCGTAAGACTTAGTAGACGCTGCGCCCCGAAGCCTAAGAGAGACGAACAGCATACACATTTTGACGCAACGTCCGCGTTATCGGACTTGAGATTTAAAACTTTCCAGGCGATCGATCTCAAGACTTCGACATTGTCGTTCTTGTGATCAACCTATAAGCATCGTTTAACATATGTTCGTCATGATATGGGAACTGATTACTAATCGTACCTGATCAAGATGTGTACAAATGACGAGCGGAGTCTCGATAGCGGTCCCCACGATATTTGGCAGAATAGAACGCCAATGATTCGTCGATATCTGCTTAAGTGACACGATAGGGACTATTGCATATACACATCTCCTCACAGATTCGACAATGTCGATATAGACGAGGTTCTATGGTTTAGCATGAGATATCTGATCTTCTGTATTTAGTGCAACTTACGTTAACAGTGGCCTCATCGATACCCTATTTAAAATATCAGCTGCTAGAATTTGTAAAAGAAAAGAAATTGGTTACCGGTAGGTCGAAGAACTGGATGAAATAAATTAGTAACTGTGTTATCACAACTTCCAAATGACTTCACCTCGAAAACACCAGTAAAATCTTGTTGAACAAATGACAAGAGCTCCACTGTCAGCAACGGCCAGACGCTCATGCCTTGCTTAAATTCGACATCGAACATATAGCATAGTCGGGCGATGTCGTTGACTTGCCCGAGCTGCCAGAGGCAAAGTTCTGCATCACCATAACGGACAGAAGTCATAAGAGAACTTACCAGCTTACTGTCGTTTTCATAAATATTGTCACACGCGCGATTCGTGATTTTCGTCACACTAAGTACACTCAAATACAAAATCTATTATAACTCAACTAATACTTAACCAAATTACATGATCTAAGTTGTAAAAATTATACTTTTGAAGTATCTCTCATATTCCAGAAAAAATAAAGTAAATGAGCAAAAATTGAGCAAGATACAACACAATATGTGAGTTTTTCCCTATATTTCATGTATATGAGTTTTCCTAGCCCTAAAACTGATTGTACAATACTATAAACTAGTCT